CTTCAGGCGAACCGTGCTTTGCAAAAAAGGACTGACTGACTATTCATGCAAGATCATACTCTTCAAGTCCCTTCAAAGGCGGTTGAGAGACAGAATAACCAAAACCTCTCCAGCAATCTGAGATAACGATGCACCCTCAAGTGACACCATCCGTGGACTCTCCCTTACGGACCTCATGTGTTTCCTTCACGCACGTGAATTCCACGGCGGGGGAAGTACGCCTCGCCTGGCTGCGACCTGGTTGTAGGAGCCCGCTGCCCACCAGGAGATGCTGGAGATAGACCATCGACGGCAGCAGCAAGCTAAGCCTCAAGTGTTCCAAGGGTGTATAAGACTGTCGAAGGAACGACATCTGGAAAAACACCGCAGATCCTCACAAAGAAGCAATCACCAAAGGTTTATTTTATCCTCAATATCCCCGTTTCAGCCTTTGACCTAAGCCTCAAGCTGAAGAGAAGCCAGGCCGCCAACCGAAACCGCCGCCAACTTCGCACGGCTCCTCCGTTCCCCAAACCCTTTCGCCCCAACCCCCGTGCCAACCCCAGCAGACCCCCCTAGTCTCCGGTCGTCCGGTTGTGCGGACGGTCTGAGCGGCCAGTTCTCGCGGATGGGCGTTTGCACCGAGATCTTCAGAAGGAGCAGCAGCGTCCCGGCCATCAGGTGTACGAAAAGCCTCGCGGAACCAAGGCACCGAGGCGGTGCCTTGGGAGGTCCCCTTTTGAGTCGAAGAGGTCAGGGCTTTGGGGGCGAAGAAGAGCTGGGAGGTCGGAGTGTCGCTGGCCGGTTCGGCCTAGTCCTAGTTGGCTACGGCTCGGGGGTGTGTTATGGGGGCGGAGAGAGGTTTGAGAAGAAAGAAGGGGGAGGAAAGTGAAGAAGTCAAGAGGGAGATGCTTCATGTTCTTGGGTGGGTCTTTACGGAAGCCACTTGGAGGGCCATTGGCGGCCATTGTAGATGATAACATTCCTGGGAGCGGCGAAAGGCTGACATAAACTTGCCGGGACCGCACCTGGCACTCAAGATGTAATTCTTCTGCCGGACCTCCAGCAAGCCCTCCTGGAGGTCAGAACATGGCCACTCCAAGAGGTTAAACGCAACTGCTAGCTGCCACCTTGAATGGATCGTGGAACCAAGATGAACCAAGCACAGTTAGCATTCAAAACTGAAGATGTCATACACTTCTTGAGGAGCATGCTTTTGACGTTTCATGTCTGTGACCTTCATGGCATATACAAATACACCCAAGTTCGACGTGGGTTTTCCGGAGTTGTCTTGGCTAGACTTTCGGCCCGAAGGCCTCCAACATCGCCACAGCCAGATCATCATCCCCTAGGCCCCGCCCCCCCTACTACGCGCCTCGATTCTCTTCTTCCTGAAGCGCTTCAAGCGATCGAGATGGCAGGGTCAAAACGTCGTCAGGCACACAGGGACCCGCCACGAACTACCGGGACCCGAGTAACGCCACGAACTCCACAAACGCCCCGCAAGTGCAGTTCCACCCACTCACTGGCCGAGACACCCCCGAGAAACCCTCACACACTTGTGGAACTATATACCAAAAAGATCTTGGACAACAGGTTGACGGGTGTGGATGCAAAGATCCTTTTGTTTGTCACATGCTCCCAGGACATTTATCCTCTTGATGTTCTGATGTGTAAGCATCTTGAATGGTATTCAACATGCTGCCGATGAATATGTCATCGAACATCCTGCGCTCTGTCGCTATCATGCTGGCGTTACCCTTCTTCCCTCCAAGCATCATGGCCACCTCCTCCACGGAGTCCTGGATACCGGAGCTTGGAACATTCCAATGCATGCCCAAGGATGCTTCAGAAATCCCATCGCGTCACCCCACGGAAGTGTGGTGCTTCAGAAATTCCCTTCATACCCCCAGCCGTTCTCTTGCTCACCACACGTCCGTGTTGATAAAACAATCGACACCCAAAACACACACCAAACAGGCACCCAACGACCCCACACAGCTCCAGACAGCCTTTCAAGAGGCGTTTCTTTTTCAAAAGAAGTCAGACGACCCATCCACTCGCGACATGGTTTCGGGTCCTGTGGCTTGGGTTGGAACATCTGTAAGTACTCGGTGAAGGCTCGCCAGATCTCGGGGCCCATCATGCGGAAGTGGACGGCCAGGAAGACCGCGACCTGCGAGGTCGGGAAGCCTCTCTCAACATGCAACACCACAGAAATCAGTGTGGGACCGAGGAGAACCCTAGCCACATGGAACAAGGCTCTACCCCCAGACCCCCAGGTGGTTAAACGAGAACCCTTCGCGACGCATTCGGGAAAAAAGGCACCCAAGGATGTTTTCGGAAATCCCGGGTGATTCCATCCTCTGCATCTGCATCACCTGAGCCCTGCTGAGCCCTGCTGAGCCCTGCTGAACCCTGGGCCGAGCCACACACGCGGCGGCCACCGGCCCTGAGGTCGGCTCCATGGCAGCGTCGAGCGTCTCGGGCGCCGGGCGCCGTTCTTCCAAGTAACCCAGACTGAGATTCCAGGGGGTCACCTATAGGACCTAGGATCACCTAGAACTCCTATAGGAACCCTGAATGTCACCTTGAAGCTGGCCAAGGGTGGTTGGTAGAACCCCAGCAATCCAGGCGTTTTCCGTGCAATAAGCCTCCTCTCTGAGTGGTGCTGGCGGGTGAGGCTCTGAGGACCATGGAGTTCGTTTCCCGAGCCGAGATGGCGAGGGAGTCTTCAACCTTCCCACAGGCTTCTCACTCTTCAATCGCCGGCCAAGCCCACCAATCCAAGCTACGAAGCAAGCTGCTTCGGGAAGTGTGTTTATAAGTTTATATGTTTAATCGTGGGACCAATCGGCAATGAGTCTAAGGGGTCCCCCATGTACTCGTACCCGCCCAAATTTGAATTCCATGGCTTTGCTCTCCAAGTGAGGGAAAACCGATCCCTGTGGGACTGCCCCGACTCCCAACCTGACTGCCCCAACCTTACCAACTGGGTGGGCTTCCGCTCCAATTTCTAGGGCTCCCACCTTGGTGACCCACTCCAAAAGCCCCATCCACATGTCACCTTGGGAGTACTCGAAGACCTGGGCAGCCGGGTGCCTCGGCACCCCCGCACCCCCGTCGCCTCAAAGGCGCTCAAAGAGTCCTGAACGAGCCCCAGCCAACCACGGAAAGGCGAAGTGTCGGAAGTCCTCTAAAACGACCCCCCTTCCTCTTAAGTGCCTGTGCCAAGTGCCTGCGCCTGTCCCACCAAAGGCACAGTCACTTGAAACAGGCAGAACTAGAGGTGGAATGGTGTTTCGTGTCAGGATATATCGATTTCTTTGATCGTGGATGCGGGTCCAGGGAAGGTGTCTTCTTTGGAAATGATGAGAATTGCTTTGGGAGGCCTGCTCGCCATCTGCACCCTCCGTCCTGATCTGGTGCTGGCCACTCTTGCACAGCGAGCACTGACGCCACCCCCTGCACATCACGCATTAGAGGAAGGTGGCACCCAATAGATTTGTCTAAGTCTCCAGGCGTGGATCCCCTCCTAGATTCCTACATCTCCATGTGCAGGGGAAAAATGGGAGAAACAGCTGCTCCTCCTTCAGGGTGTTCGATCCAAGCAATCTCAGACATGGGCGTCCGGCCGGAGGTTTTCTGCGCGATCTGGGCCCATCTAACCATGCACCACACCCGCAAGCTCGTGCGTGTCGGCCGATACACAGAGACGTACCAAGCAGAGGCTTCCAAACTCTGGGGCATGCAGGCGTTCAATGTCTAAGCCAGAGAACCATTGTCTGTGAGTTTCTCTACGTGAGGTCGTGGACTTCTTCCCACTGGCACAGCAATACATGTTCTGCAACAGGGGTGTGAAGGGTGGATCCCTCCTGTTGCACACTGCCCTGCTGGGCCCACGAAACCTTGACCCTGCCAGCCGACTCGTGTGTCACCTGTTAACTTTTTGCAGCAAAAAGATCACATCTGTCCTTGTCTCTCACGCACGCAGCTCTCGCAGATGAGAGAGGTTGCGGAAACGCGACCAATTTGAGCAACAAAAGGCTTGTTTAGCTGGAGTTACCTTTGCTAGAAGTGAAGTCTTGCAAATGGTTCCAACGTTCCTTGGCGAAACTTCAGTGAACCCACCTGGCACTTCTAAACAACGCAATCCTCTCCACACTCTTCCTGCACAGGACCTGCTAGCAGCCCTGGTAGCTGCAGCTTTGGCCCCAAAGGCGCTTGATTTGAAGAATGGAGTCGTGATTCGTGTCGACTCTTTTCACTGATAAATGCATGGTTTAATCATGGCTGGATAGAGACAAAGCCACTGAGTTTATAGGTATGTATGGGTGCGTGTAAATATCTATATATATATATATGCATGTACAGTACATCATCATGCCCATGATGCAACATGGGGTCTCTCATCTATCAACCACATCGAGCCTTCAAACAAGGAAGAATGGGTTCTCATAACTAGCAAAAGAAGGACTGACTCAACTCTTCAGCCTAGGCTGATGATGGCTCGTGCGGGTCGGATTCCCAAAGTACCCCAAAATCGTCATGAGGCACAACCCAAGAACCATCAATGGTGTGCATGCGACGATCATGTACATCCGTGTGGCACATGCTTAGACTCCATCCCTCCTTGCGTCATGTGACAGCCACCACGCTTCGCTAAGCGGAGGTCCCAAAAGTTCTTGGAGCAACCATCACATTGGCCAAAGGCCTCTGACCAAGCAAACAGCTGAGCCATATGAAGCATCCATGTTATCAGAAAGGAAGCAAAGAGAAGAAGGTACATACGTTTAGGGCAAAGGAAGATTGTCGGCCACTCCCCCAGTCTTCTGCAAGGCTTCCCCCCATCGAGGTCCATTTTTTCGCCTAGTTTGCGCACAGCTGTAAGATTCTCTCCGTGATATCATTTCCCTTGGACGATTGTCCTACCTTTTGTGGCTATCAACTGTGATGCCGCAAGGCCATTCTAATGACTTGCCCTACCTGGGTTGGCAATAGGTGTGTGCATGAGCCATTTTGTGCCGCTCTCATCTCGCAACGGCTCCAGGACCCAGCATGATGGCATGCGGCGCATGCTACGCAGCCAACTCTCAAACGATGGCAGCATGGGAGGCAGAACCCGAAGGAGCCGGTGTCTCGGAGCAAGTACAGCGGCCCCCGTAGTAGCCCATGGTCTGGAACTTGCAGTCAAAGGTCTTGTTCATGAGCAGGCCTGCCAAGTTTATAGACGGCATTTGGCGAGAACATCTGCCCGAGCAGTTTGGTGTTTTTTGCCCATGCGGGCGGCTTCCTGATCTATTTGGGAAGTAGGACTATCAAATGCACCAAGCGATGCCAAATGAGCGGGCTTCTACCGACACTTCGCCCGCGTGATGGGTCAGGAGTGATGCGGGACATGTTTCTATCACCAGGTGAATAGCATATCCGCTGCATGGCCAAAGCCACCTTTTTCAGCTCCAACCACTTAACTCGCCTGAAAGCACTTTGGCTCTGCAACACTGCGAGATGCTAAGAATCTTTGGCCCTTGTCCCAACGAGCTTCCATAGCACCTACCTAGACCTAGAAAACCTGAAAAGCCACGCAGGCTTTCAGCTGCCGGGCGCGCGCCCGGCATCGGCACTCACACTCGGTCTGATCGATCCCATCGCGGCACCTGACCACCTGGCGGTCTGAGGAGTGGCTCTCTTAGATTCCGAGGGTCAAAGTGTCAAGGCCTCCTATCATGTATAGACTAATATCATAGTTGGTCCGCACGAACTTGTGGATCCATCGGGAGTCATGATGCGGTTCCGACTCCAATCTTCCAACAGTATTTTAAAAAAAAAAATATATATATATATAGTATATACCAATACATACTTAATTAATCTTAATTATATATATCACTGCTGTTTTTGGAGCTCTCTTTTCGGAGCGTTCTTCGCGTTTCTGTTTTTTCGGCCTCCAGGCGCTGCCTCCTTCGCCTTCAACAGCAGTTCGCCTTCAGTCTTCGAGCTGCCGAAGCCAAGCCCATGAGCACGCTCAGGAGCGTCAGCACATCGTAGAGTCGCAGGTCCTTCGTACCTCGGAAGTCTTACATCTAATACGTCTAATGAGTCGCAGATCCTACGTCCTTGAAGTCCTCAGTACGTAGGATGTGTGCGAATTTTGAGGGCCGGCGATCGACAAGACTTGGGTGGTGCCATGTTTAAGAGGGAGAGACAGACCGAGAGACCCGTCTCTGCTCCGTTTTCCGAACCCAGGGTCTCATTTGGAGGCCTCCCTAGTCTAATACACACGCATGTCTGTCCTATGCAAGCTTCAATTAATCTACGAGTAACTCAACCGTCGATCAGGGAATTTGCATTGGATGCCGATTGGCGCAAAAGGCGAAGTTGATGGGGAAACCCTACCGGAATGAGCGGAGCTCCGCTCTCCGCTTTTCAATGACCATCCATGATCACTCCATCTGGCATGCCAACACTTAGCTTCAACTTGAAGATGTCCACGCATACTCAGAAGAACATGCCCTAGATATCGAAGTTAACCATGGCAAAAGCATAAACTGCTCGGTTAGCAACTCCAGGATGCCACCAAGAGCTTCTCGCAAGGGGTCCTCCTGCCAGTGGATGCCCAAACCTTTCGTCTCCTTCATGGCATCGAACCAGAACGATCCTAAGCCAAAGTTGAAGATCCATAAGGCCGTGTCCTGCGACCCACAAGGGGCTGTCGGGCTGTCCACCAGGGACCGGTTTCTTCGAAGGCTCGAACCATCCATTCATCTTGCCCCCCCCACGAAAGGCCAAACACAGCCGGTGAAAACAAGTCCCCAACTCATCCCTTCTTCCTGGGGTCAGAGCGTCCAAAGCATGTGAAACCCAAGTGTCTATATGGACCGTTCCACTTATTCATCGTCTTACTGTACTTGCGTCTGAGCTGTCCAACTCGGTCCTGCTTCACCTCGGCTTTGAGGCCAAAGCGATGTGGAAAGTTCACCAGTTCCTTGTTCTGGGGCAAGTCCACTGCGTCCACCAAGGCAACGCTCTTGCCATTCCAATCCAGTTCCTTGCCACGCTCCGTGAAGGCCACAATGTCAGGCATGCCTGCCGGAGGATCCGAATACCAACGACCTGAGCCAAAGACCTTCTGCATGAGCTGAAACTGCTTGGGCTCCTTCTGAAAGACCGTGTCATTCCTGCGCTTGGTGTAGGGATGCAAGAAGCTGCTCAAGTTCGCCACCGACCTCGGTGGGGCCAAGTACTCGTCCAGGTCGGCATAGCCCACCCAGAAGCTGCAGTGCCCTGCGGCACATTCGGCCAACCAATCAGCCTTCCATGTCCCCAAGCGGTCCTGCGTGGGCCGATTGCCTCGCAGCTCGGCGATGCCGTGAGCCACATACTTCTGCAAGGCGAGCTCCACACTTGAGTCGTTCAACACATTGAGAAAGGCAAAGTGATCCACACCCAAAGCTGTATGAAAGCTGATCCAGTCATCCAACAACTTTTCTTGCCCAGACGTCACTAAGGCCATGAAGGTCAAGAAATACCTGCGGCAGTGCAGCTGTCCAGCGCCATAGTAGCCCAAGACGCAATGCCTTGATGGATGATACCGAGGAACACGTTCATCCAGGCTCGTGTTTCTCATCCGTTGCAGCATGGAGGCATAACGACTCGCAGAGGTGTCATGAACTCCACTGCCCGTTTGGTTTCGAGCCATGTAATTCTGCACTACCAGCTCGGTCTTATTGTCCCTGTGCCGCTTCGGCCCTTGGAATTCCCCGGTCTGGAAGTATTGCTTCCAGCCAGCGCCACTCTGCAAGCGCATGAAGGACTCGTAGCTCTTGGTCTTGTAGTGATAGACAATGGGCAGATCTGCCAGCAACATGTTGGAGACCAGTTGAAACACGGTGCAAGTGCCATCAGTGCAGGTCAGTCGCCACCAAAGCAAATAGAGCAAAAGAATCAAGGCAGCGTAACCCAAAACGCAACGTCGGCTAAGGGTGGGCAGTCTCAGTCTTGAAATGTCTTGAACCAATGCCATCTTCAAAGACATCAGATTGATGATGAGTTATGATGTGCTGATGTGCTGATGCAAGAAATGCTGGATTGGCCATGGATTGGGAAACACATGGACCTCGTCTTCGTTGTCAGGCCAGAGCCCGGCCCAGTCGAAGAATGAAACCGAAGCATGGTCGGCTGAACGTTTTTTCAAGCGAACCTCTTGTACAGCATCACGTGGGAAAATGGTGAGAAGCAACCAGCGACGCTTGCTACGCTTGTAGCGTGTTTCCATCTGTTCCTCTTCTAGTGGACAATCGGTGGGGTGTCTGTTCCCCTATCTCACCAATCGCACGTCCAAAACACACGACCCACGGGGCCAGTGCGTCGGCAGCGAAGCGTCGGCACATGGAGCCTGCCACCGCATGGTAGGTGAAGCAAAGACTATCGGGCGTCTGCACCTCGGTGAGGGTTACACATCCGTGGCAAAACTCACAAGACATGCACCTCTGGAAGCGGTTGGATCCAGGGAGGGAAGTGCTCGAAAAACCCACCTTACCTGCCCCCCCATGTTGGACCTATGGCTTTCTCGTCTGGGTCGACCTATTTCCTGGTCGTTGCAGCCACCTCGTCGCAAGAAGCCAGCGGGGAAGCAACCCAGGAATTCACGGGTCCGAGTCACGCAAAAGACCAGGTTTTCCTACAGCTTCTCTATTTCGAATTGTTGAGTTAGTTTCCCACGTCTAAGACCCAGAAGCTAACCACATGGAAAGGGGTTGATGGCCATTCTTAGTAAGGGCGAATTGGGACCGTCCTTGAACTGTCGGGTGCGCCAGAAAAATTATCCCGTCCTCACCACGAGCAAGCAACAGCAATCCAAGAGAACTACAAGCCACCCAATTCCCTTCAAGACTGTTCTCTTGGGTAGGCCTTGCAGCCCTTGCACCGGGATCACACGCAGCGCCCTCCCTTTTGGGCAACATGCTCAACAGATGCCACGCACCTGCTTGTCCGTCTCAATGTTGGTGGCAATTGCTACCGAGACGGTCAGCGCAGGGAAGAAGCCAACGATGCTTTGGTACCCTCAGACCCCCATGCAGCAGTCAGATGTGAATTCACCAGGGTGACGGTGAGTGGGACCTTCGCCCCCCTGGATGTGACATGCTCTCCATGGAATCACGGCACCTGGGCACCTTGGAATCACCCATGGAACATGCTGAACCCATGGAAGCCATCGCAAGGGCAGAACATAGGAATGCCAAATTAATGCACTGAACCACAGTCTGGATAACTTGTGGCTACACTCCTCCCGCCTTTGGCCCAAACACTGCCCAATGGCTGCGTTACGCTCCTTTGTAGCTCATGGGAGCCGTCAAGTCCCCCGCACCACCTTGAGGGATCGACCACCCGAGAGGGATCGACCACCCTTAGGGGTCCAGAAAGGCGCCAGCCTCTCCGACCTCTCCGAAGGGTCGAGCAGCGGAACAAGCGTCGAGACGGCCCCCAACGAAGCATCCGTGCACGACTTAGAATACGGGGCACCTGTTCAGCACCTTTGAAGAAATTCCATGTAAGTGATCTCTCTCTCTCTCTCTCTCGCTCTCGCTCTCGCTCTCACTCTCGCTCTCGCTCTCGCGCTCTCTCACTCTCTCTCTCTCTCTCTCCATTGATCATATCCATGACTCCATGAACTCCATGACCTGGAAACAACACATCAATCGACGAGAGTGCTTGCTGAGCATCCGTAGGTGGCTCCCAGATGGCCATAGCCCTGGCCTGCCAGACTCACATCTGCCCATTGCTTCGCATCTCGTCCAAACACTCAACCCTTGTTTCGGAACTCTATTAAAAGAATGTAGACTCTTGATTCATAAACCCTCCATATGAAGAGGATTGTCCACTTCAAATTGGGGGTTATCTTTTTCAAGAGTCTACCTTAGAGGGAGGTGAACACTACCCTAAAGTCCTCCAGAACTAAGAAGTCCTTTCTTCAAAGACCTCGAAACACCTCCGGCAGTGACACATCCCCAAAAAAGACATCATGAACTTCCCTCAATGATCCACCTGTGACCATTCCACGAATGCACACGTGTCCGGTGTGGCCTAAAGGCCCTCGCACGCCACCAGAGAAGAGGCCCACCTGGACTGAGGAACCACTTGGTGGACCGAAGGCGCTTGTCTATCTGAAGTCTATCTATTGCATGGTCACGTTTTGTTTTATAACTCCATTCCGAGCTCATCCACTGCAGCTGCAACCTGTATACATAGCTGGACCTAGCTCTGGCTGCCTCTAACTGCGGCCTCCCCATCTTGTGATACCCATCCGGAACGGGCCATTCTGGTGGCACTCCTCACGTGGCACTGTTCACTCACATCCACCCAGCCACATTGAAGGCGCCCATACCGTAGATGTGCATCGCCGAGGGGATCATCTGCTTCACCAACGCCTCGCCGATGCGTGCTAGCGGACATGCAACGATGTGGCCGAAGTCTGGCCCTCGACATCCACGTGGAATCTGCACAACGAGCACCCCCAAAACCTCCACAGCCGTTACCCCGAACCCCCCATCTATGCCATCCGCAAACGATTCCAGACAAGGGCCTCCTCCAATCCCCCTTCGTCCGTCTGACCTTGCCACCTCCCAACCCCCCACCTCTGGTGCCAGAGAGTGCTCCTTCCAAATCTCCCAGCTGAGATCTGCGATGTGCGCCGCGGTGGCCACCACGTTGCTGGCGGTCCACCCGGCAAACACGCCCTCCACCTTCGAAAGCCGAAACGGCGCGGCGCGGCGCGGTGCAGATCGAAGGAGTTGCTCTTATAGATATCAATGTGTTCAGCCGATATGAGTGGTACGACTGAGAATACGAGGTGTTCATTCGAGCTTCAACTGCGACAGCTGTTTGAACCATTCCAGCCGCCGGCCTCCCAGTTGTTGTGGTTGCTGAGGTTACCTAAGTTCACCGAGATCTGTAAACAAAACGCCTTTCTCCAGCCTCATGTCAGCTACTTCTGTCAACCTCTTTCTGCGAAATCCACTTCTGTCAAACCGCCTTGACATCCAGCACGGGGCAAATAAGTGGTTCCGAGGGTCAGTCCCGTTGCACAAACATTTGGGCAAGCATCAAAGGAGGGAGACCTCCCGAGAAATTGACCCAAAACCCATGTGTTTGGGGGGCCTCAGTGAATCAACTACACACCCATGTTTCATTCAGCCCTCAGTGAATCTCTTCAAAACGCCACATGCCCAGTGGCCAGGCGCCCGGTTGTAGGAAGTGCGATCATAGCCGGGGACACTCCCGGCGTCCTGCCGAGATCTCGGGTGATCCAAAGCAGGAGGCACCGTTTTCGGTCAAAAGCACGAACGAGCCGGAGACGGTGGGTGTGTGTATATCTATCTATCTATCTATTCATCTATCGGTTTATCTATCTATCTATCGATCGATCTATCTATCTATCGATCTATCTATCTATCTATCGGTTTATCTATCTATCTATCTATCTCTAGATCGATCGATCGATCTATCTATCTATCGGTTTATCTATCTATCTATCTATCTATCGATCGATCTATCTATCTATCGATCGATCTATCTATCTATCTATCGGTTTATCTATCTATCTATCTATCTATCTATCTATCTCTAGATCGATCGATCGATCTATCTATCTATCGGTTTATCTATCTATCGATCGATCGATCTATCTATCTATCTACAGATCGATCGATCGATCTACCTATCTATCGGTTTATCTATCTATCTATCTATCTATCTAT